ACACACACACACACACACACACACACACACCATTCACATTGGTATGATTTTGTTGTGGGTCTCAGATGCCTGATGCCTGACCCTAACAACACCTCATGATCACACAGGCTGATGTGTTCTTCCATGTGGGCTTTGTTGCTTCTCAGCTAAGTGGCCACATGTTTATCTTCAAGCCTTTAAGACCCCAGATGCTATATCTTTTGATAGCTGGGCACCATCAGCTTTCTTCATCACATTTGCTTATGCACCCATTTTGTCTTCAGTGATTGTGTTGGGAAGGTGAACATCACAGAATGCAGATTATTAGAACAAGGTGTTCTTGCATTGAGGGAGTACTTGAGTCAAGGCCCAGTGTCCATCTGCAACCTTAATTCTTAACATAGGGATATAAGTAGATAGATCTATTTCCCTATCATTTTATATATAAATATATTTACATATGTACGTGCCTGTGTTTAGACCTCTATAGATGTCCTTTGCCTCCTAGTTCTTTCCTCTATTTCCTTTTACTTTCCTCTTGTACCACCATCATGTTTGGCCTTCATTTGGGCTTAGTAATTCCTGTTACATTGCCCTTAATTAAGCCCCAGTAGGCATCCTATTCCCTTCTCTCCATTTATTTAAGTTTACTTGTTCCCTTGTCCCTTGGTTGGTTGAATCCCCCTTCCTTTCTCCCACCTCCCCTTCTCCCATGTTCCCCTGGAACCGTTGGTCCCATTGTTTTCATCTCCAAATTATTTGTCCCACCTATCTTATCTAGATAGACATATAGAGACATTAACAAGCGCAAAAAACAGGCAAAGCCAAACAAAAACAAAGGAAGACAAACCCAACAAAACAGCAACAAAAAGAAAGCCAATGACAAAAAAACAAAAACAAACCTATAAATAGTTCAAGGTCTGCTTTTTGACCTTTAGAAGTGTTTTCCAGTCTAGTCTGATGGGGTGCCACACCCTGTCCCCAAAGTCTATTTCTGGTATTCCCTGGGGATTTCATTGCTTTGCTCCCCTTGCTGCTCTGTTGCATGCCCTTAGTGTTTTGTCCCAGTGTGATGGTATCAGATTGGGCACAATTCCCTCACTGTGTCTTCAGTGTTGTCCCCTGCAGCACTATGGTTCAGTGAAGGACATCATGCCTCGTGATGGGATCGGTCCTATGGTCCTCTCTGTGCGTTGTCTGCTCTGAGCAGGAATATCGTCCTTGGGGCTTGGTGGGCCAGGAGGTGTTCCCCTCCCTCTCCATCGCTCTTCTTTTCTCCATGTGCTCTAATCAGACGTGCCCCTCTTCCCAAGCTGTAGCTTCAGTGCTGTCCTCTGAGGTGCTTTCTTCTGGGGTGGGGCGGGTGTCCACATAGTTGGGATTGGGGCTGGCCCCACAGACCTCTCTATGGGTTC